GTCCTCTTCTCCCTCTCTGCCTACGGTTTACCGGGCAGTTCTATTTGACGATATATATATATATATATATATATATATATAGAGAGAGAGAGAGAGAGAGAGAGAGAGAGATCTTCTTCTTCTTCTCGGTGCGCACCTGGCAGCGCCACGCGCCGCGCGACCACGCGGGACAGCGCCCGGCGTGGTCCAGCGGCCGCCCGACGGCCTTCGCCATCGCCGCGCGCGGCCTTTTCAAGCGCACGGCCATTTTAGTGCCCGGCCGCGGCCGGAGGAGGCCGATCTCGGCCGATCTCGGCCGGACGCGGCCGATCACGGCCGAACTCGGCCGGACACGGCCGATACGCTTCCGGCTTTGCTTGAGGCCGACCAGCCGGGGAGCGTGGGGGCCACGGGAGTGCACAACCTCGGGGGAACGCGGCAACGTCGGCAGCGGGGATGTCGCGAACTACATCGACGGTGCAACAAGGTCAGACGACATCGACGATCGACGCCGCGACTTGTTGGATCCGGGTGGGGGGGCGATGACGGGGGGTGCAGGGAGCAAAGGTGCGGGGGGGTCTGGGGGTGCCCAATTCAACCCACTGTCCGAGAAGGAGATGGCGAAGTTGAGGCGAGGGAACATTGTTTGGAACTTCATCACCGCGGGGCAGTACGTCGGGGACCAGTCGAAGATGCATGGGGACCGAAAGTTGCGTTGCAACTTATGCGGCGACCTGTTTCAGGGGGGGTCGTTGAAGGCCGCGCGCCATTTCACGCAGGCGAAGTTCTGCAAGGCTGGGGGGATGAGAGTTCTCGCGGAACTCTGGAACGGCACGGACTACACATTCGTGCCGTCCACTGCTCAGCGGGTGCAGAGGTGGATGGCAGATGAGGGCATACGGGACATGAGAGTGCCCGCGGGTGGCCAGCGACAGCGGATGGACGACGCAGAGAGGGACGAGATTCAAGATGCCCTCGATGAGGAGGAGGGCCGCGAGGGTGGGGCCAGGGAGGCGGGGGTGGCAGACGAGGCAGACGAGGGAGTCGGAGAGCCTGACCTGCCAGGGGAGGAGGTGGTGATGACGTCGAGAGGCGTCGGTCGAGCGGGTCCCGCTCCTAGGGTGCCGCGACCTGAGTTGGATCGCGTGAGGAGGGAGAAGAGGGCAGTGGGGCAGGCTGGCGTCGAGGTGCGAGATACGGGCAGGGAGAAGAGGGCTCGATAGACCATGATTGACGAGATGTACGCCAAGGAGAAGTTGGCGGAGTTCACAGACGCGTGGTTACAGTGGATCTACATGAAGGGGTTGCCATTCAACGCCTTCTGTGGTCCGGAGTTCCAGAAGGTGCGGCAGACGGCGGAGAGAGTGCCTCGCAGTATCTAGTTCCGGTTTCCCTCCTTCAGGGTCATAGCGGGCGCCGGTATCCCTTCGCAGAGGGCGAAGGTGGCGGCGATGGTGAGCAAGGTGCGCGTCGCTTTCCGGCACAGCGGTGCCACCATGCTCTCCGACGGGAGGAAGTCGCGCAGCGGCAAGCCGCTCGTGAACTTCCTCGCCGGGGGCGCCAATGGCGCCCTGCTATACGCCACCGTCGCACGCGACGGGTCGGTTCGAGACACCGCGGACATCATGTACCGTAGGTGGCGGGCCATCATCTTGTCCTTTCCTGCAGAGGACGTGATCGGCTTCTGCACTGACTCCGCCAGTAACTATACGGCGGCAGCGCGCAGATTCGCCACTGACCCCGAGCCTGACATTAGGAGGATCACTTGGCTCCCCTGCTCCACCCATGTCTGCAACTTGATGTTGTCAGATATTGGGACGTGAGTGGGGTGGGTCAAGGACACCATCATCCGCGCTCGAGCGCTTGTGCGATTTATTAAATCGAACGGCGCTGGTCACGCCCTGTTTAGGAAGGTGAGCCCTCGCGTTCAGCTCGTCGAGCCCATTGAGACACGGTTCGCATCGGTTTTCCTGATGCTGACGGGTCTCAAAGGCCGACGAGACGCGTTGGAGAGCATGTTGCACGGGGATGCTTGGGCACGCATCCCGTGGGAGCGCAGACATGTATCTCAGGCGCAGTGGGTGCAGCAGCAGATCCGGGACGGGGAGTTTTGGCGGTGTGTCTATTACGCCATCCTTGTCATGTCGCCCGTCCACCAGCTGTTGCGCAGGATGGATAGGGGGGGGATGATGATGTCCATCATTTACGAGTGGAGTCAGCATGTGCTGCAGTTGATGAGGAGGGTGGACGTGCCGGAGGACATGATCGAGTCGTGCGTGCGTGAGGTTGCCATCCGCAACCTCCACATGCTAGAGCCCGCACATGCCACGGCCCACCTCCTCAACCCTCGTCGACGGTCCCTCACATATTACCATTCGTTGGAGACGACCGCCGACGACCGCCGTGTCGTCGAGGAGTGCGACAGATTTCTCCTGGCGCAGACCAGCGGCGATCCGGTCGGCAGATTGTACAGGCGCGTGAGGGATCAGATGAGGGCGTTCCACTCGAGGCGAGGGGATTGGGGAGGTGACCTCTCCGATGTCGAGGCGGAGGATTGCAGGGGGGACAGCGAGACTGAGCGATGTGCAGCGTGGTGGTTTGAGCATGGACGTGCCCACCTGGAGTTGCATACCATCGCCATCCGTGTCATGCACTTGTGGACGTCTGCCTCTCCAGCGGAGAAGCGGAGAGGAACTGGGCGCAGCACGAGCGCATCAACACGGCGAGGCGCTGCAAGCTTGGGTTTGCCAAGCTTGCACAGCTGGTTGAGATTGCCACCAATCTCAAACTGGCCTCGTGCGCACGGCAAGGTGGTGGCTACGTGTTGCCATGGGTTATGGGGACCGGTCGGGGGGGGACGGCGGCAGAGGACAAGGATGAGGACGGAGACGTGGAGCCCGAGGTGTGGGGAGCGCGACCTGCTGGCAGTGTTCCGGAGGTGGAGATTGAGCGGCAGATTGTCGCTTTCCAGCACAGCCGACCGTCCAGAGCCCATTCGGTTCGGGACGTGTTCGGCATCAGGGCGACGGAGCTGCGACCGTGGCCAGAGGGTGGGGATGATGTGGACGCTGCTGCGGCAGACGACGACATCAACGACGACTGGACAAACGATGATCACACGCCGGTGAGTAGCGACCCGACGGCTGAGCGGGTGTACTTCACTTATGGTGGGGGTCGTGCCGACATGGATTCATTCACATCAGTTATCACTGGTGGTGCGCCGTCGACTGCACAGGCGAGTGGCAGCAGCAGAGCCGGTGGTGGTCTTGGAGGACGTTCGCATGCGGAGGTTGGCGTCGACGACTCGGGGGAGCAGCAGCCACAGGGAGGTCTTCGGCAGACAGGCAGGCGATGGGAGGTTAGGAGCGACAGCGAGGCCGAGGAGGAGGCCGAGGATGAGCGGGTAACCCTTCACGATCGTCGCTCCTCTCCCTCCCATCATCGGAGCGCTGTACAGCCCGAGGCACTTAGGCGTTCGGAGAGGTTGGCGTCGACAGTAGGCAGAGACCGGACGCATGACGGCGAGGATCGTGGGGGGGAGAGGACTCCTTCCAACGCCGGTATCCGCCCCCGCTCGCCGTCGGTGCTCCGCACAGACGACTTTGACGTCGTAGAGCTTGGTGGGAGTTTGGGAGATTTCAGTGTCGAGGGACGTCGACGTGCCTCACCGTCGGATGTGCGCACCGACACGGACGTTGTGCGGGGCCCTGTTGAGACTGAGGAGGAGAGGGATGACCGTTTGGAGCGAGAGGAGGAGGAGCGGCTGGGGAGTTTGCCACGATGGGAGGGTCGGTTCGCGTATCTTGACGAGCAGCGTCGGTAGAGGGAGATGGAGACAGGAAGGGGGGGAGGCCGTGACGTCGACGCCTCGGGTGTCCCTGAGGAGGCAGTTCAAGGGGAGTTCAATGATGAGGGACAGGATGCCGCCGCGGGTGGTGAGTCAGGTGGTGGACGACGCGGCGACGAGGAGACCGCGGGTGATGAGGGCATCGAGGGGCAGGATGTTGTCATGGGGGGTGGGTCCCCTAGTGGGGGGCGTGGCGACAGCGAGACCGCGGGTGATGAGGGACAGGGTGCCACCGTGTGTGGCAGAGGAGAGGGTGGACCCGGTGGAGATGGGGATACCGCGGGTGTCGGTGGAGACCATGGACCGGACGGAGATGATGACGACGACCACGATCCCGAGGACGATGCGTATAGGCTCGCCTTGGTGTTGAGGGACCCCACAGTACCTCCCTTGCGTCCTGACGACACAGCGCACACTTTCTTCGACGCCGACGCTTTGGCGCAAGCGTTCACGGATGACCCTTTCGCACACGTGAGCCGCAAGAGCGGCAAGAGGCGGGCCCCTGGGAGGGTATATTCACCGCCGCCGTTCGTGGTGGAGAGCCCTAACTGGTCGGGTTCGTCGCTCAGCGGCGTGAGAGGGAGGGAGTCCGGAGCGGGTGAGGTGGGGTCCGGCAGACGCAGCGACGGCGACAGAGATAGTGCATGATTGATGCCTCCACCGCCCGCACGGACTCCAGAGGGCAGGGTCGACACCGGGGACCGGACGGCGGCACCCGGAGTTGCGCACAGTGGCGGATCCCCGCCGACAGTCCGAGGTGGTGTGGGTGGCGGATGGTCAGCTGTTCGTCGGGTCGGGGACCGGTTGCGGGCGGCTTACGACGCCGGGAGGGGCGTCTTCACGGGACGTACGCTAGTTCAGACGCAGGCTGCGGAGGGTGGGTCTGGATGTCCGAGCCTGCAGATGGCAGGCCGCATGCTCGGTTTGTCACGAGCGGAGATGAGGAGATCATTGGTCCTCGAGGCCACAGGGACATCCACGGACATGCTGCGGAGAGAGCAGTTCACATCGGGCGAGGAGGGGTTGTTGATGCGTCCCGGGACGAGACGACAGCATGGCCTCTCGGAGGTTGAGGCTCGACTCACGGCAGGGGTCGGCGCTGGCCAGGCAGCATTGGACGCGATTGAGAGGGAGAGAGAGATGGGGATTGTTGCACGGGCGGCGGAGGACGAGGACGCAGACACAGAGTCCGAGCCGATCGAGACTGCGGCCCGCAAACACAGGGCACAGGTGGCCGCGGCAGCCGCTGCAGCACAGGCGGCATACCTCAACGGGGCACAGGGCACAGGTGCCGGAGGGAGAGGAGGGCGCCGGGGAGGACCGCATGGCCACCCGTCCTCCGGGAGAGGCCGCCCGCGCTCTGGAGGGATATGACGACGTCCGTGGTATTTTTTTTTTTTTTCATTAGTTTTTTTTGTTTTTTGCGTGGCTGTACAGCCTGGACGCTCTGTCGGCAAGGTTGTTGCATATTTATGTCGATGTTGTTCCATGGAGACGACGACAGTATGTGGACATTAGTTTTTTTTTTTTTTTTTTTTTTTTTTGCTGCTCGGTTGTGCAGTAGAGACTACGGGTCCAGTTTTTTGCTTCAGCCTTGTACATAGGGTCCAGTTTTTTTTTGCTACTTGGTTGTACAGTAGAGACGACGGGTCCAGTTTTTGGCTTCAGCCTTGTACATACACATTTCCATTGAAATGCTTTGTCATATATTTGCTCTTGTTCGTGTTCCTCTACCAACATTGGTCTTGCATCTGAGTCGCTGTTATTTGGTGAGTGGTTTGTGGTTTGTTGTCATGATTGTTGCAAATTATGTGCTTCTCTGATGCCACGCACCTGCATGTCATGGATGCCTCCATTATGAATGTGCTGTTAATTTCAGATGCGACATAGGGATGATGTGCTAATGAATGTGTTCTTACAAAAATGTCCACCAGTCTGATGAGTGAACACACACTATGACACACTTGCCTGTTAACATTGTTTGAAACTTATGGTTCGCCGCACTGTGATTGATTTTGAATGTGTTTTGACTTTGGTATGCCAACAAGGGTCTGACTTATGATTGCCATGAATGTGTTGTTTCAAAATATGTCACGAACTGTCATCACCCTCACGAATGAAACCGACGCCTGCCTTTCAGTGCCTGAGGCCCTGAGCCGTCTGGGGTCTGCCACCTGCAGCCCCGTCCAGCTTCGACCCGACCTGGCCGCACGGGCCGCCCCAACCAGGCCCTCATCCAACCCATGTTGGGCCGCCCCCGCAGGGGTCAATTTTTTTTTATTTTTTTTCTAGTGTTCCAGACCCTCTCCCCTTCGAAGAACCCGCACGCGGGGGACGCACGAATTTTCGCGGCCCACCCTTCCAGGGCCATGTGCAGGACCCCCCCGTTTTTCATTTTTTTGACGCCCTGTCACTTTGAGGGGGTGCCCCGCCACCCCCCCACCCCAAACCCGCTCTCCGCTTCGAAAACCGCCCCCCAGATCGGCCGAGGCCGAGGCCGAAAAAACTCGGCCGGACCGGCCGCGGCCGGTGGGGTCCCGGCCTAGGCCGTCGGCCGCAGCCTGGGCCGAACCCGGCCGCGGCCAGCGTGCAACATAGGTTGAGGTACATGGCGAGAAACTTGTCTTAGTAGTCATGGAAGATCCAGTTCATTGTGTGCTGAAACGCCCCAGGAGCATTGCATAGGCCAAAGGGCATCACCACAAACTCGTACAGACCGTACCTGGTCTGAAAGGCGGTTTGTGCTGGTCCTCATGTCTAATAGCAACCTCATGGTATCCAGACTTCAAATCTATCTTAGTGAAGTACTGACATCCCTACACTCTATCCAAGAGGTTGTTGCGTGGTAAGAGTTCCACGTTCTTAACGATGATGGCATTGAGGCCCCTATAGTTAATGCACATCCTTAGTGCCAACCCTTCTCTGTGAGCTCTGTGAGTTGGTGGCGGAGTTCATCTAACTCCGCAGGAGACATTCTATTGATCCGTCCTCTAGGCACTTCGCTACCAGGGACGAATTCTATCGCGTGGACAATCTCCCTTTCTACCACACCCTTAGGCTCCTCGAAGAGGTCAAAATATCGCGCAACGACCGCTTCTATCTTTAGGGGTAAATTTACGGTCTCCCCTTTCTTAGAGACAAAGACTAAGTTCACATCTTCCTCATAATTCTGCTTGTAGTAGTTATAGAAAAACATCGCGCACATGCAACCATAGTTCTCCACTAGTCTGATAGCCTTAAAACTTTTGCAGCCTAACGGTCCTTCCATCTGGCAAATTGTAAATCATCACCTTCTTATCCCGATCAAGGTAGTACATGCCTAGCAACATGTCAAAAGGCAGTTCGTGGCTCACTAGGAATGAGATGTTGCGTCTCAGTTCCCCTCCTCCATAGGAGAAGGTGACTACGTCCTTGACATAGTCTTTTACTATAGTGGAGTGCTTGTTGGCTAAGGTAGATGCTACAATTCCGCTACGTCGTTGCACTTGGTCCCCTAAGTGCAACCTATCCACACAAGCACGACTGATGAAGTTTCGCGTAGAACCTATGTTTGCGAAGGTGCCAACGTTTTGGCCACCTACATCGACTTCTACCACGAAGTGTTAACCCTTTGGACCTTTGTTCAACATCGCCCATGAGTATCTAGGGTCTTTCTTTAACCACTTAGTCTCTAACTCCTCTAAGGACTCATATACATCCATTGAACAAAGCATTGATTGGTCCGGATGTGTCTGCAGGGCGATCATGGGGTCAACAACCTTGGCCATCGTCTAAAATGGAGAAGGTAAAGTAACCACTTTAGCATGAGTAAGTACTGGCCCGAGGTGTTTCCCTGGGAGTGCTCGCAGAAGCACCATCAGAGTTGGAAGATCCAACCGTCACTACTGAGGACGCAACCTTCGTAGCGACCCACTTACTCTTGCACTTAGCCATTGTGTGCCCATATTGGCTACAGTTCAGGCAAGCGCCTCGTGCAACACGGTCTCGCCACACCTCGTGCTCTAGACCAAGCTTCACCCATATGGGTAGTCCTTTGTCACTTTGACCCTTGGGCCGACCTACCTTCTGTTCCCTGGCCCCCTTAGCCTTTTCCCTAATACGAGCGACTACTCCACCATCTGAAGTCTCTACACTCCCATCTATTTTTTTTTCTTCCCCAAGGTCAGAGAAGTCATCAATCCCACTCGCTTGACCATCATGGTCAATGGACATGAGATTGCCTTTCTTCCTCCAGTCTTGAAGGGGCTTCTTCTTTCTCCCATCTATCGGTCCCTGTTGGACACTCCTAAGCCTAGCATCAATGTCTAAGGCCTTCGTGCTAAAAGAAGCAAAGTCATATACATCGATGAAGGCTTCATCGACCAACTTATTTTTGACATTTGTAGGAAGACATCGCAAATAAGTTGTGAAGAGTACCTACGGTTCATACCGCACACCAGGGACAACGATCAGATCCCAGATTAGCCAACAAGTCAGTGGCCGTTTGAGCCCCTTGGGGATCATGCCACCTGTTGTAGACTAACCGCACAGAATCCTCTAATGATAGGGTATGAGCTAAGCCATTGAAGTTTTGACCGTAACCCCGTTGTTGTACTAGCCTATTCAACCACCTGGCTGCAGATCCTTCTAGAAAGGTTGCAGTGACAATGACTTCCTCCTCTGACCTAGTGAGCTTGTGCCTTACATAAGTAGGCACAATCCTCACCCAGGTATCCATGTCCTCGTCCTTCTTCTTGTCGCCAGAGAAGGGTTTAGGACTCGACAAGGGTATCTTGGGGCTCC